ATCCTAGAAGTTTATCGAAAACAAGCTGAAATCAGTAATTAATTTGGTAATTGCTTAATCAAAGTAAACAGAGTATAATCAATCATTTTCCAGATTTATCATGGAGTCTTCTAGACAAGATAATCACGTAAAATCTCTTTAATGTTTTCCCGGAATTCATTCATCCATACGGGTATAGAGAATTTTGACTCGAGATAAACTCCACTCTTGTTCGCAATGTTGACGTTGCACCTAGCAACCCCTTCTTCATTTACTTCGTTCAAACCACAAGTGTCGGAAACAAAAGAATCCTCAAACCTTTCACTACTCATGGTATTCATTAAAGGTTTATTTACAAAGTCATGAAAAATGTAGCTTTCTACGACAAAAATACCACTTCATCATGCTACAGACATGTCAAGTGTAGTATAGTCAGTCATAATAGTAAAACATTACAACTCAGTAAAAGTCAAACCTCCAAAATATCTACCATTAAGTGATTAAATAAATGAAAACATGACCGTAATTACTATGATACACTTAAATGACTTGACAACATTTATCCCCAGTCAGAAATTTTTAATATTTTAGCTAATGTCAGTTTGTGATTAATCTAACCATAAACAATATGAGGACTCTCAAAACTATTTGGATCCTGGTAAAATTTCAAGAAAATAGATAATCTATTTTTACAAGGACAACTTTATATGTCGTTGGTTTTTTTGGAAATAAATTTACAGACTGTTCTGACTTATGGCCTCCCACTAATATCACATGACAAAACCACCAATCAGAATATCTATTTCTATAACTTCGTATCTGATCTAACCAATGACATGACAACCGGCACAAGTAGCTTTTATTCAGTGCTAAGTTATTAGTGGCACTTAGTCTGGTGGCTTCGCTCCCTGATCATTAAGTCCAGGTATTAGTAATTAGTCTCCACTAGACGAATATTATATTTCACACATACATAGTTTATACACAAACAGACCTGACCACATCACACCATAAAATGAAAAATGACAATTATACATGATCAAGACAAAAAGTGGCTGTAAGGGAGACTGTGAATAATAAACTAGTTACTAATGAAGAACAGCAGATTATAGAATAGTAGTTAATGGGTTAGGACTCCCCTGGCAGTGGTTTTATGCACGTGGCTATGTGAGAGCATTTCGAGTGGGAGAGCTGACTCTCCTCACTCTTTTCCGTACCAGGGGGAGGAGGAGTCCCACAATAGGACGAAACGGCCATCCAGTGCTTCCAGGTTTTCCTTGGTGGTCTAACTTGAATTGACTCATGATCTCAACTATTGAAATTACGACAATCTTCACAAAACGCCTTCTGATACAAATGATTATTTACCATAACTTAATCTATACACTTGCAATTGTCCCATTTTTTCCTTATCACCGTATAGATTCGTTAAGAATTAATTGAAAATGCGTATCAGTTGTTTTTGTTTTAAGACTCACCCCTTTATTACACACTTGTCTAAACCAGAGTTTAGTCTTTTTATAATAATAATAATTATTATTATTATTATAAATTTAAACGAGCTTTGTCAAGTGTGAGTCCACCTTTTTTGCTTATTAAATTATAAGATAAGTTTGTATTGTATTCAACTTTGATCAATCAAATGGTTGCTTGTGCTTTATCGATTATTTTGTACTTATCCTGCGGTTTAGTTGTTACCATGGTTGTATGTGTGTGTGTATGTTATAGAGAAAGTTTCAAATGATTTGATATGATGAAAATTTCAACTGTCAAAAATAATAATTAGATTACTATTTAATTAATGAACTCAATAATATAATGTGTAGTGTAACCAAATAATAATTACTCACAACACTGTGATATTACTGTAGAGGCGCTACCCTCCTTATCCACCCTAAATGAATCGAAATAAAAGATGAGACTATTAACCAGATATGTAGTTATTTTGTTTTGTTTACTAGAATGACTATGAGCACAAAATAAATCTGATAAAATGTTATAAATGATTGAAGGAAATCAGTTTTTAGTTCACTTATCCTTCAATCAATCAATTATTATCTTACTGTTAGACTATTGTATCAATGCCGGGGGGGGGCTACATTAATTTTAACATAATAGAATTTTTTTGATCTGATCCCTGTTTGATCTATTCATTTTTAGTTTTTAAACAATTAGGCGGGTCACCATCGATAATGAAATAGGAATAAATAAATAAGAACTATTAGAATGAGGGGAATTTGTGGAGATTGTAGTAATTTTTTTCGATAGTTGAATTCATGAGTCCATCTAAGCTAGAACACTATTGAAAACCTGGAAGCACTGAATGGCCGTTTCGTCTTAGCGTAGGACTCCTCAACAGTGCACACACACGATCATGCATGCGCGACTCGGACCCAAGGCCTTCGGTCTCGTGCACGGACGCTTGTTTTCTAGACCACTGAGTCGGCATCCAACGGTGTTAATGTCTAACTTTAATCGATCCATGATCTTACGCAACCCTTCATCCATTGTCTGTTGGATACCAGCTCAGCGGTCTGGAAGTTAAGTGTTCACTCATGAGACCGAAGGACCTAAGTTCGAGTCCCATGTGCGGGATGATGAATAAAAATTAGTTATATTAAATTATCGACACTTATTTCCTCATTTTCACTACAATTAATATTTTACGAAAGGGAGTTTTTACGGATTGTTTTAATTGAAAGTAACTTTATTTATGAAATGGATCCAGTTGATATATCATGGAAACAGTCTGCAGTTGCTTTCATCCTCTTGACAAAGTCGATTGTTATACATAACTTCGAAGAATTATTATTATCAATGGTTGAACAACTATCTGGTACTTTTTGATTTTCAATGAGTCTTCCGGTTGTAAACGGTCCATCATACATCCAACGATGGTTGCTACTTTTATGCTAGTGGCCAGGCTTGCATATCGTAATCATCCAGTCGAAATATATTGGTTGGAACACTTGTTTCTTTAGATCCTACCATGCAAGCTATGTCTCTCTCTTGTGTTTTAACATTGTTGTATATTTTCTATTCCATGAAAACATCTGTTTCTCTCTGGTATATGCCTAATATTTTCTATTACCATTGGTACACTGTTACTACTATATAAATTACTCTGGTATGTATCATAATAATTTTATCTCTCTGTGCCGATATAATGTAGCTTTTGAACCGGTGCACAAACATGCCGTTTCTACACTGTTTAGAACCTCCTGAATTCATATCTCAAGAAGCTGTTTATTTATTACTATCTCATTTGTGTACAAGTTTATGCTCTTCCCCTCTTCTTCAGAAATTATCGGATATGATATGAAAAGATAACTTGTGAATATCTCTACTTTTGTAACTTCGATACACACACATAAATTTCAGTAAATAAGGCTTTATTAATGGTATCATGTGACGAATTAATTTTATCACAGAAACATTGGCTATGAAATGGTAGATGTATCCATTGTTTATTGTTGTGTCTCTGTTTTCATGTGTTGGGATTTGATTACATTATCTATTCTAGTCAGATTAGAAAGTGATAATTGTTTTCAATGTAGATTTAAATGAAATCAATCTGGATAGGATTATGTAGTAAATCGAGGCAAAATTTCATCCATCCTTTTCAATCTAATTTAGTATTATACAATTAGTAGTGGGTTTCGTTAATCGTAAGTATTAGTGTGATGGACCCTACTTACAAGATTGCCTCTAATAAGTGTGCAGCGAAGCGTCGTATAGGAGTTACTACAGTCAACAACCGAAGATAGGAGTCTCAGGAAGCCTAAAGCATGGCGAGTTCGGAATACTTTTGAGACTGGAAGAAAATATATATATATATATATATATATATATATATATATATATATATATATATATATATATATATATATATATATATATATAAGGCAGCCTACAATCAGCTTATGTTTCAGAACAAACATTAGATGCAAATGAATGATTGAAGACTAAGTGTATATATTTCATAAATAATCTGTGTTCTCTGTAAATTATTACACATATACCATCTGAACTTGGCTTGTTCTTACATTACGGTAGTACGTAGGGTACACGACAGACATCATTAGATCTTGCTTCAATGTTTAAGTTCTATGAAATTTCTATCCACCAAAACTAGTAATTTGATATGTTGATTATTTCAATATTGGGAAAGTTAAAATTGTTATTCATGATTAATATTATAATAGACATAAGCAGATAAGCTCAAAAGATAATATAAATGCAAACATGGGTTCGCAAATGATAGATGTTACATTTTTATCATAGGAAAAGTATTATTCAGTGATTTAATCAGTTAAGATCAGCTTGGTTTTTCTACATCAAATTTAGTGTTCGCCAATAAAAAAAACATTCCATTATGACCTGACTGTAGCTGCTTGGATGTCATAATGATCTTATCAAGGTACAATATCTAGAACTTGTTCTTCTACGTCTTACCATATTAACCAGGTTGGTTACTGAGCAGTAAACGTACATTTCAAGGTTTATGTCGTAATCCCGGCTGTACAGTGATGCGACAGCAGTAAAGTGTTTCTCTGATACAACCAGCATCAACTCAACAGATTTCTATCAGCAGTTATAATGTTTGTAAAGCACAGAACTAATAGATCAAAAACTACTCACATGAAGACTGTGTATGTGTCACTCACCTCAAGCAATTGTTCCTTCAGCTCTATGATCACAATCCCAGATCCTTGAGACTAACTCCTAACCCTAACCTACTTTAGATTTCAAGTCTCTTAAGATGAAATTACCTTACGTAGTAAATGTAGCGGGCAAGTAGCAACCATTCCTATACCTCTAACAACACTCGTGACCATCTTGAATGGCTAATTATGGTACAACTATTGTTTAGATGTTCAAATTAGTAGTTTCCCAAAAGTTCAAATTCACAATATTTAGTGTTTGTAAATTAAATATTCCAATTGTTTTGTACAACAAATTTGACAAATTCTGTTATTATAATATACTTAGCTTTAATTTATTTTTCTACATAAATATAGGTTTTAGCTATTCAATTGGCTTGCTTTTATGAAATTATCAATATTGGTTACTTGGTTTATCGATCGCATGATTTACCTTGGTTTCGATTATTATCATGGTATTTTTTGTTTACATCAAATTATTACCTATTTGGTGAAAGTTTAATCACCCGATTTCGATTACTTTTAGCTAAAGAAGTAAGTCTTCAGACTATTGATTCGAAAGTACGAGTGATAGTAGTATTATTATGTACGTGTTTACACATTATGACTAGTCAATCTATAGAATGATTAAGTAAACTGTTCAACTCTCTTACTTTCTATTTGCTTGCTTGTGGAGATTAACCCGTTTTTTTATAATTTTCATTACAGATGGACTTCGAGTGTGTAAGGCGGTTGACGGTAGTTAGTCAGTAGGAAATCTTACAATGACCTAGATTTTGTACTAGCTAACAATAATTAACAAATCATACTCGCAACTTCGCAGCGAATGATGCTTCTATGCAGGATCGGGACTTGGGTAACCCAGTTTCACAGCGTGAGGCAATACCGATGAGTTATCTGGACGTTAGCTGATTATAAATTATTTAGACCAGTGGTCAAAACGTTATAGGTTAAACACTGGTTTTCCAGATGCAGTTAGTCTTTGATGATGAAAACAATCTAAAAAATCTTCACATTTAGTCAATTAATAGGTAGCCTCAAAGAAGTTCATGACTGGTAGATTGGAGTTTAATTGTAATATTAAAACTGGAACGTTGGATGACCATCATACTATACTGTGGTAATATACACTAATAATTTACTGACTCAGCGATGACATGCTCACCTCGAAATCTGAAAGTCACAGATTTAATTTCAGCCATAGTTATAGTTGTTCACACTGTTAAGGCAGTTTTAGGCCTATATGAAACAAATATTTATTGCTCCCTGCTTTTCGTCAGTTTAAGTCTGATTTCTGATGTAAGCTGTTTCATATTGTTTCGTTCCTCTTAGAACCGTAAAAGTAAATTATTCACATAGTACAGATTTCATTCTTAATAGTTACCTTATATCTTCACACCAGATCATTTTCAGAATAATACTTCTTATAACTAATCAATCCATTATCAATTAGGTTCATAAGTCGGTTCGTCAATCCACAAGGCAGTGGAGCAACGTAAGAAGGTACAATCCCATGGTAGCCTATAACCAACAATAGGTTCATGTACGGTTTGTTTGCTCAGGATACTGGAACCTATGTACACCATTGATATGGAATCAGTATTTTCAAACTTCTCTAAGTGGATCTTCCATATCTATGAATTGTGCCGAAAATTTATACTTAAAAAGATAGGAAATACCTTACAGTAAATCAGATAATGTCACAGATTTGTTTTAGATTTTATGACGTAAATTATCTGAGGTTTTTGTGGATTATCGTTTAAAATTGTTCTAAACTAATATGAAATACACCTTATCGGATAAATTCATCAATTTTCAGGCATTTAATCATATATTGAAAATTCGATCTATCCAGTTCCTTTTTTCGTTGCTTTTGTTATCAGACAAGCAACATATTGTGTAGCACAGAGTAGAGTAATTCATCTTGTACATGGTAGATAAATCACATCTTTGATCGACAATACTGTTTATAACTTTCCTTTAACCTATTTTATAAATATGAAGTTGAACCATTAAAAAAGTAGATCACATCAAGACGATCACAGATACTTTGTTGATGCTCCTCTACTCACGTATGTGTGATTAGGTCATTAGTCATTGATTGTTGAGTTTAACGTTAGGGTTGTTCACAATTTAGACAGCATTTTGAACTAAACGCTTTTTTGTAGACGAGAGGTGGAAGGAAGGTGTAATTCAATTGTATGTGCTTTATATTCGATAAAATCATCATAGTTTCAGTGTATAGGTTTGCTATTATTAAAGCGTAAACATATAAGTGAAAAAATATTAACTGGCATATTTGAAGTTCTACTCCTTAAAAGAATGTTCGATATACTCTACCGGTAGGTACGATGAAAATGTATAGAGACGTTTGTGGTTGTTACGTCCTTGATTTGTCTACCCACCAATATAAAGAAGATAACTTGTCTCAATCTAGATTAAGACCTTGACACGATAAGCTGTGTGGTTTAACCTTGAGGCTAGAATCGCGTGAATTTGAATTGAGACTAACTGCCTTGTGTAGAAAGACGGAAACTATTTTATCGCCTGATTGGTTGATAAGCGCGCGCACGAGAGAGAGAGAGAAGACAAGACGACTGAAACACTACTCGGTTTATTCCCAATTCCGATTCGCACTCCGGTCTGGTTCCGATTCAGATTAGGAAAAATACAATTATGTCCAAAACCGGGGATTACGGTAGGAAAATGGAGTAACAAAGGCTATGTTTAAATTATAATAAATTTGGAACGCAAAAGAGTATGGCAGTGAATCAAACGAAAGCTTATGGTTTATATAATAACCTAGGGATAAAGCGAAATGCTAGTATTTTACAAGCTTCATTCAGTGTGTGGGTGCTTCTAATTAAAGTGTATCTATAATTAAAAAAGAAATATTTTCGTGTCAAGCCTTATAGTTTACTGTAATTGTGTACTTTCTTTTGTCATCGAGTATGTCGGATTTCACTACACTATTGTTACATGTACCTATCAGACATCTAGACGCTTAAGATGAGTTTTCTGTTAGAGAAAAAGAAGAAGTCACACTAATATCCAGCAACTCACTTATTAAATAACAATCTCCACAACCCTATACTGATAATTATCATATACTCACTAGTGAGTAGCCTCAAGAGAGAATTCTCGGAGTCCTAATGAACAGATGTGACCAGTGGAGTTAAACAATGTCGGGTATGACGCAGTTATCCACCAAAGACAATGAAAGATGGGCTCACTATAACATAGATTGATTGAAGTTAGGCATTAACACCGTTGGATGTCGACTCAGTGGTCTAAAGGTTAATCGTTCATGCACAAAACAGGTTATTTGTTCGATTCTCGCATGCGGGTCGTAAATGCGCACTTGCTGAGGAGTCCCATACTAGAACGAAACGGCTGTTCAGTGCTTTGAGGTTGGTCAATGGTAGTTTAACATGGTTTCAATGAAACTCAACAATCTACACAACCTTATACTCATAAAAAAACAACAGGAAAATGACTGAAATCATTTGAGATAACACATACACACATGCTTCTGTATGCGTAGATTTTTCTAATAGGAAAAATATATACACACAAGTAGAGACGTACAACCGTTTCCATTTTGTTGGTTGTTCTATGTTTCTGTTTTTTTCCTTTTTTTGATTAATTAGGATTTTCTACAACCATGGATAACTCATCATCAGTTTATTTCATTTTCATTATATTGTGCTGGGATTGTTGGATTTGTTCTAAGTTTAGTTAAAAGGCATTATATTAAACAGTTTACTTTGGTAAGTAAATATTAATCTACCAATGTATCGTTTATTCATTGTATTTATTTATTCATAGACGATAATTAGTGTGATAGTTGTGTTATATTACTATATTGAAACCTTAAATGGAAATATTAAACCATAGTCTAAAACTGAAATAGCAATTTTCAGTGGTTAAAACGTTTGATGTTTAGTTACTAAGACTCAATTCCGAACCCTGTTTGATCTTTTTCGGTCTCGATAAGTGTATACTAACATTAACCTTTACACTTAATATGTAACTAGAAACCAATTACACGAATCTGTATCTAGTAAATGAATTCAAAATCACATACAGACATTTTTTCTCCGTGAAACATGAAGGTAGTAACTTCAAATCTTGGCAGAATGTCGTAAGTGCACACTGTTGCTAAAGAATTCCAAATCAAAACAAAACAACTATATCCATCCATTTTTATAATGTTTCCCCTCTCAAGTTTAAATCTTCAGTCATTATTAAAAAGTCTCCTTCATATATTGTCATTTTCCATTTTAGATAATATGGTCAATCTGTTTAGTCTCATTTCCTGTTTTTGTTCTCTAGACAATTTTATGGAAGTTTAACATGTCTTATATAGAGGTAGAGTTAATCATAAGGTATCATTAATTATTACGGAAAAAAATTTGGTGAGAGGTTGTGAATTTCATTGGAATTATGAGCCGATCTAAATTAGACCACCATTTTAAAAACTGAGAACACTGGATGGCGTTCTCGCGGATGACTGAAGTTCCTGAGAATGGTTCCCGCCTGCAGGATTGTGGATGCACGCTATTGAGGAGTTCCACATTAGAACCAATCGACCGTTCAGTTCTTTCGGGTTTTCATTGATCTAACTTAGATCGGTACATGATTTCATTTTCATAAAACTATTGATCATCAAGGAACACCAGTAAACGGTTTTCTAGTCTTGGTTTTTTGAGATCCTATTTATTCACAAGTTATGTGGTTACATTGCGTCACAATAGCTATTAATCAACCTATTTAGCGAATGTGATTATTTATTATTAATTAAAACTGTATTCAATTGTATATCCAGTGAAGAGGTTGGTAACTATTATGTGAGGAGGAACCCTTTCTTTTAACGAGATAGATGTTCTGGTTTAAAGTCTCAGCAATAACACTTTGGTATATATATCAAAATTCTTCAAATGAGACATCCTAGATGCACATGAGCCGTTTTAACTACTTCTGTAAATGTTGGTTACAACCAATATCATTTCAGTGAGAGAGACAGGATTCAAAAACGAAACTAAAATTCAACACTAACATCTTAATGATTCTGAAGAATTCATTGTACTGTATAGTACAGACGAAAAGAGAAAAGTTTATCTTCAATGTTACATTTGTCTAAAATTATAATCATCATATTTGAATTGTTTCGTATAGTTCAACTAAATCAGTTTATTATTCAGTGACATTATAATTTATGAACGAACCAATCAGATTTAGAATAAGAAGTCTTGAATTTTGGCTCGAAATTCATTCACTCATTTGACTTGAATACCATTTTAGCATTACAGCTGATATCAGTCCGTGATGAAAATCCTAAATCTAGTTCTTAATTTTAGCCATCAACTCTAAATCATAAATCTAATTCCTCAAATTAATTCATAGCATTCATTTTACCCTTGTTAGTAGGTGGAAATTCTCATGATCACTTTAGCATTGCTCAAATATCGTTCATAAACCATAGTCTCATCTATTATTGAACAAACTAACCATTAAATATTTTTGAAAATACTGACATGCGTAGATAGATAATTTATGTCGTGGCAGTCATTTCATTCAATGATATTTATCCTTCACGGATAATAATAATAATCAACTCACATTAGTTGATTACTTCAAGACTTTTTAAAAGTTCTAGTGGGAAATTGTGGCTGGTGAAGTTTATACCTATTGAGTGTGGAATAGTTGTTACCAATGTTATTCAACGATCACAAATTGATTGAAATCGGTCTTGTTCTATTAGATACTGACCTAGTTGTTTTAATGATTAAGCGTTTGGTGGGAGAACTGAAATTATTGAATTCACTTCTTGTCAAATTCATAAATGTGCACTGTTAATAAAGTTTCATACTAGTGTAATGAAGGAAGATTCGGGTAAGGTAAACCAATTTACTTTATCAAGCAAACTCACACATTACATCTGTAAAGTATAAAAACAATACGTCATTTGCACATCTTATCAGTGTCAATGATTATTTTCCTTAAAAGTTTATAGTCTCCTGTAAAACTATCAATTGTTGTCCTATAATTTCTTAAACTGGAACTGTTTCTCTCTCTCTTTCTCCTTAGAATAAGTAAATAATATGGCTTGAATGTGTTCTTTGTGTTGAGTTATGCTAATTTCTGTAAAAGCTAGTGATAGTACCACATCATGGTTACCTCAACTTAATTAGGAAGAGCAGTAGGGTTACATTTTGTAGCTAATTAGGTAGTTCATTTATTGTTGAATATGACTATATATTTTTGTCAGTATAGGAGGCTTGTGGAGATTGTTGGATATTACTGAGGTCACAAATAAACCACAGTTAAGTAACCATTTAAATGAAGGAAACATTCTACGGGTGTTTCGTCCTGGTGTGGAACTCAACAGTGCACATCTATGACCTCACCGAAGAGGATCAGATCCAGATTCTCTAGGTCTCATGTCGAGCCATTAATCTTTGGCCCATTGAGTCATCACCCAGTGATGTACATTTCTAACTCCAATCAATTTGGGATATTACCCAGTCATCTAATGCTATCGATGAATAACTGCCGCACACTTGATATGGTTGAACTTCTACCGGTTACGGATTCTCATTAGAATTTCGGGAATTACCTCTCGAAATTAGTCTTTAATGAGCATATAATAATTTTCAGTATTAAGAGCGTCGGTCTATTGGTGCAAAGATAAAAAAGGCTTGCCGAAAAATCTGGAAATGTTTGGTCCTATTCCCTTTGGTGAGAGCGTTGATACGTACTTCTAAGGGGGTTTCATATCAGGACGAAACGGTTGTTCAGTGCTATCTAATTTTTCATAACTGTCTCATGAAGATCAGCTTGTAATCTTGTTCATTCGTTCTTTGCAAAATTATGCTTTTATTTTGTTTTTGTACGAATTATAGTTTGGATGGACTCATGTTACATTGCTTATTTTCGTTACATCATCTTATTTCTGTATTGAAAATATTTTCAATGGTTTAATTTGGTGAGTTAAAAATAACACGTTGTTTTTTTTTGTTCGTTAGAAACAAAATTATGTACCGTTTATTATTAGGTCCAGTCAGAGTTAATTGTTAATGGTCATTAGAACTGTTAAACTCAGGTGGTGTTTCTGTGGGTTTCCCACTATCTCCTTCTATGTCTATACTAATTTGTAGATGATCCACTGGAAATTTTTTTCTCTTAGCTTTTCAGCGATAGGTCTCACTGATAATTCTAATTGAACGCTAGATTTGGTTCCTAAGGTCTTCCAGTAACTTACAGTCTAAATCTACTCAGCGACTTGAACACGAAAGAAAAGGCGCGAAATATGAAAGAAACGCTTTACTCCGAAAAGGTTCGTTTATGTACAGAAAATCTAGGGTTTTTATAGTAGTTTAGATGGCTTTGTGTTTCCGGAAAATTCTGGAACGCCACTAAACATAGTAGCTGCATATGTAACCATCCAATCAGAAACTCGACATGTGACTTCACTTTCTAGTTATTTCTGACAAAGCTTCTATTGAATACTGATTGGATAAGATGCTTCTCAATATTTTCAGAGCCTTGTTTGTCTTTTTTCGGGTTTTATGGATCTCCCCGGCGCTCACACTAGGAGGTTCAGTCATCAGTATACGCAAATAACGTAGCACTACCTGGTAATGACACTGATGCAATGCACGTGTCACTTATTCCCAACCTACCTCGGTGAGAAATGTTAACTGGTGTAAGGACAAGCTGGTAGAAAGGTAGGGGCGGCCAAACCGAAGCATGGGGTCAGTCTACAAAGTTTCTGACCAATGGTCTAAATCATGTTGGTAGATTTGAACTACCATCTGATTGTAGTCTACGAAATAATTGTAATCAGTGGCTAGAGACATGGGGTAGCATACCTTAGAATTGGTCATGATTGGGCAGATGCTTTCACTCTTTATGTCCTTCTGGATGTTGAGTTCCAAAATTCCTTCCTATATACACTTTTACCCAGTCTTTTCCAATCATTTTCTCAATATTCCATTGTTCTCAGTATCGTTGCTGCTACATCGTTTCGATTATTTGGTTACTCATCTTGCTACTTTGATCCCATCGTTATGATACAATATGACAACTTGGGCTAATACAAATATGTGCCAAGTTCTATGTTGATTATTACTGACTGGCTTCGTCCTACTTTTATTATCATTATTTGAACAAATAAATATTGATACAAAGAGGAAGTAAAATATGTATGCGCCGCACAAATTATTGAATTTTTTTGTGAGCTGCGATACTATCTGAGTACCCAAACCAAAGCAGGTGGCTTTCTTAGGGAGCCGGTTTCCGAGTCTTTGACCTGGAAACCTAATCTAAAAGACAATGGAGCAACGTTAGAAGATGTAGTCTCATGATAGCCGGTGATTAACCATGGGTTCATACGCTATTTCTCCCCTCAGGATCCTAAAGGTCATGTAGACCATTGGTTCGGAATCAGAGTTTTTCACCTTTCCTAGGTGGATCATCCATAACCATTAACTCGGTCACAGTGTCGGACATTTTTCCGTTTTCTTAGTTTCGAACACAACACTACTGCTATGGGAAGGCAACGAGTATATACTTTAGGGAATCCTCAGCCGTGAAGTACAAGAGTTAGTCCATACCATTTTGATCACTTAGAGTTAAATGGGAAAATTGTAATTCTTAGAGTCAAGTGTGATTCGATTGTTAGTTAATGTATGACAGTTGCGCATTATCTCACAATCTGATTAAAATTGAGATACCATTTGATTCCAACTTGGTGGTTTAGAGGAATTACGTTTGCGTTTGGATCCTAATGGTTCTGTATCTAATTCTATATAGAGTGTAGTGTATGTACACATAAATTTTTCGTCCACTGGAGTACCATTTTATTATTTGAATCATTATTTCGGTAGTACCAAGTTTGTTGTTTCTTAGATATGTGTAGAGAAGCTAAAAAGAAGCTTTTTAATTAACCAGCTAGTCAAGAGTCGTCAGTTTCCTTTATGGTACTGGTGTATTAGGATTCGAATCTGTCATCCAATTGTAGAAATTAGAATACTTTCTCATTTTAAATACCACTGCCTAAACTGAATTAGTTGGGAGCAGAGTCCGAATCCCTTGATGTGGTAGTTAAAATCTGAACATCTGATAACTAATCTGGAATCGTTTTCATTGTAACATCATGGTCAAAGATTTTACAGCTAATCTATTCTAACTGTAAAGCTCAAGGTGCATCTCAATATTAATTAATAATCTCAAGTCAATCGATAGGATTCGACCAAAACTAAAGAACTATACAGCCTGGTAGTTGGAGGTGGTCGACAGGAAATCTTATACCCTAGATCTTGTACTATTTGACATTCGTTAACATAGCTTGGCTGAAATGTTGAGTCAATTGGTACTTTCTATAATATCCAAATCCTCTTCATTTAGCTTCACAATTTGAAACATTAACACTCAGCTATCCGACCAGTAATTGAATCCCAATAGAACTGATATACAGCCAAAATAATTTGATCACTGAATAATAAATAACCATGATCAATCGGCTTTTGAGGATTGTTTCCTCAACTGGTAGCAATAATAATATTCTTATCTAAAGGTATTTTTAATGGAAAGAATACTATTGAGAGTTGTATTTTTAAATTCAGTTGATATGCTTTTACTGAATGATCATATGACATCTAACTGTCAAAAGTTCGTCGTTGTTATTTTTTGATGTTGATTATTTACTGATGATAAGAATAATAAAAATAAAAGTCATTTAATATTTGTTCGTAACTTTCATTAAAAAAGTAAGTAAACACATGGTGGAAAGCGAAACGAAGCGTATTTAACAGCTGCACTAGTCTCGGCTTCGATTTCCGCATGGGTTGTCGTGGATACGCGTTGTTGAGGAGTCCATTGCTGGGACAAAAAGGCCGCCTAGTGCTTCCAGGTTTTCAATAGTGATCTAGCTAATATTAGTTCGTGATATCAACTATGAAAATACTACACTATTGTTTGTTTATTAATGAGTGTTCAGTTTCTTTGGTTGTGTTTTTGTTGTGGACTGAAGGATTCAATTGTGAAGCTTTGATAGTCATCCTTTCACAGTGCTATTATCATCATTATCAATTCTCGCTTCACATAGATTGATGATTCTGTCGGCAAATGATTTTTTTCCTGAAATTTTGTCAACTTCATTTATCGGTATATTATCGGTGAGTAGTTCACTATGTGGAGCTCTGGCCACATAACTGGGGTGAGCTTTTCCATTGATTTTGATAAATAAACGTCTGTCTCATTGTACAGTTAGTAACGAATTTATAAGAATTGTAAATTTTACAAATACGACCAAGGGTGGGAACAGTTCACTCTCCCTCTCGAAATGCTCTCACATGGCCACGTGCATACAACCACTGTCAGGGAAGTTCTCCTCACTGCCTTCTCGCGGCACCGGTGTTGTTTACGAAATTGAGAGGACGAAAAGCGAATGTTCAGCGCTTTAATCGGGTTAGTGGGTACGGGGGATCCACCTAGGGGAGTTGAAAACCCTGATTCCAAACCAATGATGCACATGGGCTCCAGGATCCTGACAGAACTAATGGCGTATGAACCAATCGTTGGTGACTGGCTACCATGGGACTTTATCTCCTTACGTTGCTCAACTGTCTTGTGGACTAAACGTTTAGGTCAAAGTCTCAGAGTGCGGCCACTTAAGTAAACTACTTAGTTTTGTTTGGGAACCTAGGTATTATCATCGCCCACACAAAAATCAATGACTTGCGTGGCGCATATGTATCCGGTAGCCCATGTACCAATATTCATGTGATCAAATAAATAAGTAATAATTATAATTAAAAATTTTACGTAGTTTTTAATTACATTGATCCTATTTAGTTAGTAGTCCCTTACTGATCGGGCAAAATTTTATTGTTAGAAAGTAATCTGTGTAATTTGATAATCAGTTTTGATTCATCTGCGTAATCCAACACTTTGTACATCTGCTTTTTATCTAACATGATGAAGTTTGCTTAAGTGTTGTTTGTTTGTTTATTTATTTAGTAGTTCGTAATGATTCAAACTTGTAATTTTGCTAATTAAAAATCAAATGTTTAAGCTGTTGATTAACGATAGTTTATTATGGAAGTCTGATGACCAACGTACTTTCCGGTGTTGATCGTCGGTAAATTTAGGTAATACTACAACACTTTAGTCAGTCGTTAGTCATAAATATCATAGAACCTGGGACATACTTTTGCACTGATACAAGTTGTCACGTCAGCACAAGATTGAAATTATCAAGGTAAATGAATACCCGAGTAGTAGAAGTACTAACGTTAGTATAAGTATTAGTAAAGAAATTCATGGGTAAAGAAGATTATTCGAGAAGGAAAAGTGAGTTCTTGAGACAAAAAAATTATAAGGTAATTTTATAATTGAAATTTCTAGGGGAATAAAAAGAGTGGATATATCCACTTTCATTCCAATCGATTCTGATACATGCACTCAACATTTATTTCCATTGGTAGTTTTCATTTATCAACATGGCTCAAACCAACAGTCAATAATTTCATAAACTAATGCCATGTTTTGGTTTAGCTACTCCTAGTTCTCTTCCAATCTACCCATACCCTGGGCAACGTTGGATGTTGAGATAACTAGTAGTTAGAAATACGTACTACATGTCTCAACCACCTTAGTCGGTTTATTATCTTTACGTTGTATTTTATATCTAATTCCAGCATTGTTCACTGACCTCTGTTGTAAGATTGATTGATTCACTCTGAGTGATCATTGTTTAGAAATATAATATCGATAGAATTTAATCAACATTGAAGATTCGAACTACATGACACTGGTTATTGCTACTCAGTGAACAATTTAAGCTTAGTGATAAGTATTATCTTTTCATCCTTTGTTTATTTGATTTAAATATGCTTTACTGACAACCTTTAATAATCCCCCAAAATGACCTTTAGAATGTAAAACCAATTTTTGGCCATTCAGAATTCAATTTAATATAAATGAATGATCAATTACACTACTTACTTACGCCTGTTACTCCTCGTGGAGGAGCATAGGCCGCCCACCAGCACTTTCCATCCAACCCTGTCCTGGGCAATCCTTTCCAGCTCTTTCCAGTTCTTATACATTCTTTTCATATCTGCTTCGATTTCCCGGCGTAATGTGTTCTTTGTTCTTCTTCTTTCCTGTTTCCCTTCAGGATTCCAAGTTAGGGCTTGTCTCGTGATGAAGTTTGTTGATTTCCATAATCTATGTCCCATCCATTTCCATCGTCTTCTCCTAATTTCCTCTTCAGCTGGAAGCTGGTCTGTTCTCTCCCACAGTAGGCTGTTGCTGATGGTATCCGGTCAATGAATGTTGAGAAACTATTTATAATTACTTGTCACTTCTTGATGGTGGTTGTAGTAGTTCCCCAAGATTCAGCTCTGCCTATAGCTCTTCTAGAGTTACTGCCGGTCGCAAACCCGGGTAAAGGAGGAGGGTTGGGAATGAGGTTAGCGACCCCATTCCGTAAAAAACTAACTCGCTAAAAAACGCTAACTAGATTAGTTACATAAAACTTTCAAAAAGTGTTTAGATTAAGAGTTAAACTTAGGAATTATAGTTAAAATTTGAAGTAGGATTTTAAGAGTTGAAAACAAAAGTTTTTCTTAGCTTATTCACTTAGCTGCAAGCTATTTATCATTGTCTTTTTTATTAAAAAAAATTCCTCTTAAAACTATTAACTTCTATTTTAAATCAAATTATAAATAGAGATGAATGGTGGCTAATAGTGGAATCCATAACATACATTTTGTCCCATCTGGGATTTGTCGGCTTCAACACAACCAATACAAAAAAATGAATTAAAACAGATTAATTTCATCAAGTAATGGATAGTTTTATCCTTCATCTTTCTATACACTTATTCTTTTCTTCATTTTACAGGTTTCTTTTACCAGTTTGTCTAGTTATATGCAATGATGTTATGGCATATGTATTTGGATTTTTCTATGGGAAAACACCACTTATTAAATTATCACCGAAAAAAACATGGGAAGGTTTTATTGGCGGTGGTTTATCCACTATATTATTCAGTATATTACTATCTTATATTTTAGTAAAATATGATTATTTCGTATGTCCAATTGAATGGGATGATACAAAAGGTTCTTTAACAATGAATTGTACTAGAAATCCTGTATTTATAGCACAGATCTATGATTTACCAAAGTATTTAGTAAGTTTCCTTTTTATATTAATTATCACTAATTTATGATGTTCCAATATTTTGTTAGCTATGAAGAATTTTATTCATCAGTTGTTAGTGAGGTGTACTATTTTCAAGTCGGCTATTTCTAATCTCCCTCCAATGTTGCGGAAAAGACAGCATCGTCACAGATGCTAGTTGTATAAAGAAACATTATCTTACTACTTCTCTATCGGGTTATGAGCTTGTTATTTTTCGTCTTACCTTTAACAAACCTAAATGGTATGGTAAGACTTAATGAAATGAATGCTCCAGCCACTGTAGATTTTTGTAGACCGTTGTTGGATTTCAAAATGATCACATGATAGTGATGCTTGTGAAATATATATCCTACTTACATTGTATGTGCTCTGCTTACATGTCCCTCTAATGACAACGGGATAAGAAAAATTGAATACGAGTGTTTGGAAAGTTTATACTTCATAGATTCATTTTGAAAGATGAATAAAGAGATAAGAGATAAAGAAATAAAATATGTCAACTCGATTTCATCAAGCGTGATCCACTACTTATAGTTCGACAGAAAATAGGACTAAAGACATGTGATGAAGAAAGTATGTGATAAATGCGCACACATATGTGCTCTTATAAAAACGGTTATAAGTGAATAATTGGCAAGGTCAAAATATATATAGATAATGTGTTAAAAAGAACAGGTTAATTGTTCTGTCCAAAAGCCCGAATAACCAATATCGGTATGACATAATACTAGACGCTACCAGCTCAACTCAGTTTTCGTGATATACAAATTCGACTATTGTGTCATGATTACGACTACTATCAAGGCTTATCTTTTTTTCCAAATTTCCTCACTAATGGTTAGTTTTGGAATGATGTGCTAACAAGAAATATTAACTACCAAATTTCAACCGTATCTATTTTAGTCAAACACATGGTTCCGATGATATTCAATAATAATGGTCACACTAAGTTGTGTCGTTTGAAGTTGGAAGTGTCGATCTCTTGTGGATTTCGATTCAATATAGGTCGTAGTAGTGTGATGTGTGCTACTGATGTCGACAGATATAAGTAGTATGTATCACCAATCGAAATTGAAATGCCTGACGGCAGAAGACTAAGAAGATCTAAGAAAAGAGAACGAGAACGGATAATGATTGCTGTGAAAACGAAAGAACAATGAAGTCTGAGACGATTGATTAACATTTTGCAAATGAAGTTTTTACTGTATGGTTCTCAGATTTTACTAAGTTGTTCTGTAATTTTGTATTCAAATATATTTGGTTGTCCCATCTGTATTCTCGTTCACTACAACAGCAGTCGTCTATTAGTTACTGGCTTCCCGAGAAACTTGAACATTTTGGATTGAACTCCATGTGACCAACTGTGCATACATCACACTTCTGAAATGTCCCAGATATATGAAGGCATAACATTTGCTCTATTTGTATGCACATTCAAATGATTTCTTGTTGATGTATTTATTTATTTAATATTTCATTTGGATGATTTCTAGTACTGTTTTTTTCCTGATTTTCTTTTTCTCCCGTCTGCATATATATCTATATCTGTATATGTATAGTTCTTTCTTCCAATACGTCAAATCACTTGGTATCCATTCTTACAGCATTGTTTAATTATCAGTATATATACATCAGTTGTTGGACCGTTTGGTGGATTCTTCGCTAGCGGTTTTAAGAGAGCATTTAAAATTAAAGATTTTGGTGATTTATTCCCTGGACACGGTGGTGTAGTTGATCGTTTTGATTGTCAATTAATAATTGGAACATTTGTATTATTTTATTATAATTCATTTGTTCGGTAAGTTGTTCAATGTTTCTGTGTATCTGTGTGTGTATGTGCACACACTCTTCTTGTCTCTATGGTTTATATTCAAATGATAGGACAACATTTTCTTCACTAATCATTATCATAATCATATTTGTGTGTGCTGACTGGGATACTGCAAAAATACTCAGGACAAACTAGGTGGTTTGTCTTAGGATCTAATCCACGAAGTAGTAGAATAATGTCAATGAAATTTAGTTGCATGGTAGTCAGCAACTAAAATAGGTTTTTAGATCATTTGTTTCTTCACAATCCTTGATCCCACTATTACACTATTTAGTTTGAATTCAGAATTTTATAACTACCCTGGATAGCGTTTACTTCGTATTCACTACAAAAGAGCATTTTGAGTAGAAAAGTGGACATTTTCCACAATCGGTCACACAAGATTACTTATGGGGCAAGTATCTGATTATTTTTTGTAGATATATTGTCCAGTAATGACATCAAGATTGCATAATTCATCTAATAGTTAGGAATTGTCAACTGGATTCCCACTGTTGGTGTTTTCATTGGAACTAGAGTTTAAAACAGGTCATTATAAATAAACACCAATACTTTTCTAAAATAAATGTAATCCACTTGTAGCCATATATCATACAGACTACATCCATTCAAGGGAACTCTTATTGGAGATTTATTAAAAAGTATAAACCGACAACGGCGTGGCTATAATTTATGGGCGAACCAATCAGATATAAGATGATAACAAGTCTTGGATTTTTGGCGCAAAATTTATCCATACATTTGGCAAAATATGATTATAACATCATAGCTAATGTCAGTTCATGATGAAAACCCTAAATTTAATTTCTAACCCTAATCATCAACTGTGAATCATAATTCCAATTCCTCACACTGGTTTATAACTCTCATTTAATTTTAGTTATGAGGTGAACACTCTTAAGGTCACTTACTTTAGTGTCACTGAAATATTGTCCATAAATTATTGTCTCACCATGACAACAACAAAAAATACTTTTTTTTAACCGTTGTATGTTATTTTTTTTAAAATTTTTAACACAAAAAATATCATATTTTTATTATTTTTAATGAATGTACTTTTACACATGGAGATTATAATTTATATGAACCCATGTATATATATACACATAGTTGTGTACCATATATTGAACTAGTTATAATGAATTTAATAATTGAAACTAATCTGTTATAATGTTGTGGTACAGTATAGTTTCTAAGAATTGGTCATGAGTTAATATGCAATCAGTGTATACATGAATTCAATTGATTAATTAAAGGAAAAGATTCAAAGTGAGAAAGAAATTTTATTGACTAAGTGATTCAGGATATATATATATATATATATATATATATATATATATATATATATATATATATATATATATATATATATTATATATGTTTTCATTCATAGATAATTAATCATTTACTAGTCAGAGACAGTTCAGTATTTGAATTGCCTTTTATCTGACTACATTTAGATGGGACGACTTAGGGCTCACCAGTTTTGTGGCCTTTTATTTGACTCCAATTACATCGTACAAATAATAACTATCGAAATATACATACCATCAACCTTCGTATATTATTATCGAATTGACTTGCGTTAGTGAATAATGGCTCATATACTTTCTCCGATTTGTTTCGTTTTGATTTCTCCGCTTTGTTTCTGTGATCGACTGTTCAGACTAACGATTGTGTGAAATATACATATTCGAAATTTATTGTCGTATTTGACTTATTTAATTCCGTTATTCACTAAGGCGAGTTAAGTTGATAATATACGAGGGTTGACGGTATGTATATTTGGACAGCAATCATTTGTACGTTCCACTTGGAGTAAGATAAAGGGCTATGCTAAAGTATCTGTAATTTTACAGAAACGCGTGGGCCCTTAGAAGATTTGAATAAGTTGCACAAATCGAGCATTTGATTGGTTGAAAAACAGAAGTACTGTTAGGAATTGAAATGAATGTATGCTAACTAGATGGTGAAGTATTCGAAATATATAAGAAGTATTCTGTCAACTATATTCAAATGTTCCGCATTGAAAAGTGAAGTGTATATAACAATTAGGAAACCACGAAAATGCGTATATAGACCACTGATTTCACTTATAACTTTCATTCAGTTTATGATAATCTATTCAATATGTGTGTGGAACAGTGACTTACTAGTTAAGGCATTCATTTTCCATCCAATAGTTCATAGGTTCATACTCAGCTTCATTCAATTTAGTATGTTCATAATATCACTGACCTGGTTAACCTCAAATTGATCAATAAATTAAATGGCGTTGGAAATAGTCTGTAAGTAACTAAATGTTAATGTAATAAGAAGACGAAGATTATCAGAAATTTATCAAAGGGACTAATCGCTTTAAACTAAATATTAGAAATCATATCGAAACCTAATGGGTCAGACAGTCTTTGCTTGTTTACTTGATCAAATTATCATCATGAATCTACATAATTTTATTATTCAATAAAAATGCGATTAATCATGGGACATACATTAGATCAATCAAAAATTAGTCAAATTATAAAGTGACCAAGGGATGACTTTCATTTCAGAAGACTGAGACATATACCATTAGTGGCTTAACTTTTTAAAGAACCTTTGAGATAATAGAGAACATTTGTAGCCCAGGATGGGAACATTGAAGATGTTATGTGTTTTCTGAACTAAATAGATTGTTTAGTTGTAAAGCTTTCATTGCTTTTTAGGGCAACATCATCATAAAGAAAGAGAATGAATGATTCACAATTAAAGTCGTTCATCCTAGAGAACACTATCTCGTATATATATCACATATGTAATGGGATTCAGATTTATTTTGCATAAATTATTAACCTTATTCCTCTTCGTTTTTCTCATCGTTCACGGTTTTTTTCCTTTTTTTTTCAATTGTATTTTTGTCTCAGATCTTATAGTCCCGTTTCTCTATTACCGAAAATCTACATTTTACCACCAAATACACAAATTCTATTTTATCGTCTACTTACGGATGGTCTTTGTAAACGTGGTCTACTTCCTAATCAATTAGTAGATGCAGTAAATGAATATTTACCATCTCCATCAGGATCAAGTTCAACAACAATACGACCAACTAGTTCATCATCATCATCATCGTTGAATAATGTTGAAGTGTAGAAAGTATTTGAAAAAAATAGATCAACCAATGAGAATATAAGCCAACAAGTGATAGTGTTACAAACACACACACATACATACCTACATGCTTCTGTATGTTTGTCGTGTGTGTGTGTATCTGTATTTTATTAACACATACACACACACTAGAGCTACGGACACATACATGTGCGTTTAACTTATTTTTCATTACTTATGCCTGTTACTTCTCGTGAAGGAGCATAGGCCGCTCACCATCATTCTCCATACAACCCTGTCCTGAGCAATCCTTTCCAGCTCCTTCCAGTTCCTATTCATCCTTTTCATATTTTTCATACAGAAAGATTAAATATAAAATTACTTTATACAATATTTCTACTATTGGGCTTGGTGATTGTTCAAGTTTGGATTTTACAATGAGAGATTCCGATTTAAAAAAATGTGGTGTTGTTCTCCCTCCCTGCTCACTTTTATCATGATTATTATTATTACTCCTATTACCTATTTGCTAACAGGCTTTTATTGTATACTTCCCCTTGCATAGACAAGTGTATTGTAGATCATTAACATAATGAGATATAATATTATATCTCATGCAGACACACACGCACAGTCACGCATTATGAGATGTACAACTAACGTCAATAATCAGTTTACTTTGTTTTCAATTTTTAAATTAATTAGTAAATATTTGTTGTACTACTTACTAGTTTATACTACTCATATATAAGTAGTATGTGTTGTTAGCTGAATTGAACTGAGAGAAATCATTCAATACAAGCAGAAATTTAAAATGTGAATCATGAAAGTGTTAATACAATTGTGTTTTAACAGAATATGTAGAGTTTGTTTCTTGTTTTTTTTATTGTAGAAAATAAAAAATATACTGATTTACTACTCTATTCAATCCAGTCAATGTAGTATTGTTTTAATTGATCATCATCATCATCATTTATTTTGTATTGTTCACTTACGTGGTGCATTTCCCTCTCTCTCTCTCTCTCTCCACGTGTAGTCGGCTTGTATCCGTTTACATAACCTCATTATTATTATTATTGTCATTGTCAGTATTGTTGTTTGTTTTACACCCGTATATATATGACAGTGATTGTCTACTTCATTTCACTTTTCACAACTACTATACACTCATTAACATACATTTTCTTATCATTAAGAGAATAATGTATCAAACATTAATAGGGGTGGGGAGACTGTTGCTATTTCTATTTAATTAAAGTTATGATTAATACTGTTATGTCATTCAATGATAAATTTATTCTGTGATTTCTTCATTTATATTAATATCTATGTGATACATATTGATGAAGTGTATCAATTTGACAGTGTGCATATTCATATATATATGGATATACATTCATATTTTCATAGATGCTTACAAAAATATTGTGTTTTCTCATTTTTACATCGTATTCTGTGTCACTTTGATATAGATGCATTTAATAAAACTAATGATCTTTACATACATATATATATATATATATACACTTCCACTTCATCAGTATTGACACTTTGTTGTCTATATAGTTTAATGATGGATTATGTTAATTCAATTGTTGATAGTCTTATTATGTTTCCTGATTTGAAAAACTGTATGGTCATTTTTGTTTGGTTCATCAAATCATTCCATCTAGGTCCCGACCGTTGTTGCTACCTTGACATGGTGGTTGGGCTTGCCTATCGTGATGAAGCAACCGAGCTCTACTGACTGGAACAATCGTTCTTCAAGATCCTACCATGTCAGACAGGTCAGTTGAAGAGCGATAAGACTAAAAGCAACAAACCCAAGGTCCGAAGGCGAAGTCGTACTGCTGACTGTACAAAGGTATGACAGCAGTAAGGTGTTTCCTTCAGACAACCAGCATGACAGCGATGCTGCTTTCCCACAAGGAGGGGTGGGGTTAGAAAAGGTCGACCCTGAAAATGCACACCTTGCCTTATCCCACGGATTTCCGTCTCCAGCGGTAAGGTCTCAATAAGTACGGAGCTAACACAAAGATTATCCGTAAAAATGTCGTGTGTGACCGACCTCAAGCAGTTGTCCCTTGGGCACTGCGGTTACGCTCTCAGGTCACTAAGACCACCTTTAATCCGATTTCCTTTTCAGGTACCTTCAGAAGAACCCTTCGACGGTGTGGACACCCGGGAAGTGATAACCGCCCTCATACCTCTAACAGCACTCAAGACCACTAACTGACTGACTGATCTAGGTTAGTGTGAAAGTGATATGATTGGGCTGAAATTGTTGTTCCTTGAGTATTATGGTCATTTGCTCTGTTTTCTCTTTAAATAACTTAAAAAAAGAATTCATGTTCGATGTTATGAGTAACCAAGACGTGATAAAAAATGTTTCCATACATCTAGTAGTATTGGAGGTTATCTAGTTCATAACTAACTAATTAATTGTGGGTTACTTGCTATACTCAAAGTTCAAATAAGATATATTGTGCTTATCTCAATTTATATACAAATCAGTAGTCGTTAGATATTTCAATCAAATCCACTTTAGGACAGCGTATATGTGAATGTAGTCTGATTTAGTAATTTCATTCAGTAATGAATATTTTGTCGACTTATGGATAAATGTAAATAGTTTCCGAGGGAATTGAAGGTACTTTTAAATTGCGAGCAGACATTTCGATCTAGAAATCCATTTTTTATTGCATGATATTTCTCACAGTATTTGTTTTTTTTTGTTAACTGAGATATTACTTAAATGCACAAATCGGAACTGGTGATCTTAAGAAATGAATGCCTGAGCCATTGGTCTAAGAGACTAATCCACATGGAAGTGATGTGATACGAGACGACACAGCCCTATAGCTGGCAGCTTCTTTTTCCCAGGATCTTTCAGCCTAATTGTACCACTGATTTGATATTAGGGTTTTTCAACTCTTCTAGTTTAACTATTTGTATTGAAGAATTTGATTCCAGATCCACAATTCCACTATCGTTTTGTCATATCATAGGGTCTCTTCAAAACAAGGCTTTGTAGTTGTATAGGGTTGGTATTCGTCAGTTTGTCACAACTTCCTAACTGAAGATCATTCAACTCAATGGTTCTCAAGATTTTAACAGACGTCGCTCAAAATAAAAATTACTGATGATTTCGCTGTAGTTTTTGTGTACATTCTTGAATAGATAAAAGAATGAATTTCATTAGTTGGGAAAAATCATTTTTTTTGGTTGTAGGGGAAAATCTTAAACTAAAGCGATTTTTCCATACAGTCCTATTTCAAGTTACCTTTTTATATTTTTATTGTATAATTATTAAATACTTAAACTGTTATATTGTTGTATTGCCCTACTTACAGGCCTTCGCTTCATGCATGGACTAATGTTATGTATTTTACTTTGCCTATGTTATTGTCAATTTATTAAGGACCTATCATTCAGTTCTCTTTCACTTATGGAGCAGTTATGGCCATATTGTAGTTTCTTAATTCTGTTGATGTGCATTCAAGATTTTGTTCCATATATTACTGTATTAGTGATTCATAAGTTCCAACTGTGTAATGAGCTATCTGTTTGCTAGGTTTTGTTCAGTTCTAGCTGTCTAGTGAGTAAGTAAGCGTGGAAAGCTGCATTCTGAACCAATGGTCATCTAGTTTTACTATCGGCTGTCATCTCACATTTATCGTGTGATTGGTGCTAAATTGACAGTCTAGGCAAGCAATCGACACTAGGACTAGATCAATATAATTGATCTCCTGTCTTACAGTTCGATTCGGCGGGTCTCAAATAAACTTAACAAGAGGAACTGTTTATTCTCAACGACACAATAACTTTAAATGGATTGTATCGTTATTTATGAATTGTACAACTCTTCTATTTCTCCATATTACTTGTCGTTTTTATCTGTGAGGAGAGTCAGCTCTTCTAATCGAAATGCTCTTATATGGCCACATGCATACAACCACTGTCAGGGAAGTTCTACTCACTTCCTTCTCGGGGCACCGGTGTTGTTTATGAAATTGAGAGGACAAAAGCGAATGTCCAGCACTTTAACTGGGTTGGTAGACACGGAGAGTTCACCTAGGGGAATTTGAAATCCCTGATTCCAAACCAATGGTGCACATGAACTCCAGAATCCTGAGGTAACAAATAGCGTGTGAATCAATTATTGGTCCCCGGGTACCATAGGACTGCATTTCCTTACGATGCTCCACTGCCTTGTGGATCAGACCTTTAGGTCAAATGCTCCTGGTGTGACCCCCTAAGAAAACCACTTGTCTCGATTTGGTCACCCGGGTAGTATTACAGCCCTCACACAAATCAAATGAGATTTATGTGGTGCATATCTATTTGGTGCCCCCTTGTAACAATCATTATGTGTTTAAATAAACTCAATAAAATAGCATCTCGGGAAGCTGATTGATAATAATCTGAAGCTGTATGTTATATCATACTTTACAAATCGTGTCACATTTTATCAGATTATTAACAGTACCAGTTGAGGTAAAATGAGAGTTTTGTTGTCGTGGATTGTTTTTTTTTTATTTTAGTAAGATAGTAGAGATTTATAGCACCAAAGAAAACTTATGAACTAGCTTATTAAATTCCTTAACTTAGTCTTCATTATTCATTACTACTTTAGTGTGCACATCTCTCATGGGGAATTATTCCTCTTCTAATACTGAGCTTCTTTACAGTCCTATGTTCTTTTGTGATTAGCTGAATGAAGTCTTTTTTCCATAAAATCATATATACCATTGTGTAAATTAATTTTTGTGTAGTTCGGTCATTGAGTCGCAACGCCCAAAGCTCCGGAAATATTTAAGAGCAAATATTTATGACTGTGATGAGTAAACGTAATAAACTAGGTAAATTAATACATGATACATAACTGTGCTTATATGCCATCTCAGGGTCGAACAGTGGTTGAGAGATGCCTGATATAAAGCACATTATTGGATAAAGTTAATTATGGCTTTTATTCATTTCAGTCTCCTTAATCTCATCGCAAGTAGGAATAACGTATAGGAAACATGTGTGTCTGTATATGAACGAGGCGATTGTGAAATATAGAACGAAGTTTACATTTTTCACAGTATTCTTTTTTATAACTGGTCACTATACATCAATTAAGAACTGATTACAAATCACCAAATTGTAGTTGTAACTGGGTATTTTCTTTGGAATAACATTAGGACATTTTTTTTACATTAAGTTACTCCAATTGATTAGCTTTCAATCGATTATATCTTCTCCATTCCATTTGCCATTGTCTAAGTTCACAAACTTCTGGGATTTTCCTTACCTATAAATACAAGAATGAAGTATTTATTCATAAAATGAAATGTGGTTAGAAATAGAACTTTTTTTTTCGTATAAACTCACTTAGATGATTTTGAAAATAATTCAAATCACTGAGTAGTTCAATCAGTCCGTTATAATCAATATACAACCTGATACATGTATGCATCGAATCAAGTTACCATGTCTTATCAGTACAATAATTTTATTTTAACACATAGATATTGGTACAAGGAGATACCAAATACATATGCACCACACAAATCTCATTCGATATGTGTGAGGACTGTGATACTGTCCGGGTGCCCAAACCGAAGCAGGTGGTTTTCTTAGGGAGCCACATCCCGAGTCTTCGACCTAAAGGTCTAATCCACAAGGCAGTGGAGCATCGTGAGGAGATGCAGTCCCATGGAAGCCGGTGACCAACGATTGGTTCATACGCCATTTGTTCATTTGCAAAACGTCGATCAATCATCTCAGATTGTCTATTCATATAAGATATTTCAAACTAGAAGAAAAAAACTTCAAATATACATTAGTATTCTATGAATCCTACGGTTCTTCTTCAATTGTTACCAATTCTTATTAACTGCTATCTATGTGCCAAATAATTATTAGCAATCCTGTTAATTACTTAATCTTTCGTTTTCGTTGACCAATAATATTAACGATTATTTATGCTAATAACTGTGTTTCTTCAATGAGAATAGTGTTGATAAAAAGTAAGTAGAAATGTAGGATTTCTCATTTGAAATTAGTTAAGAAATTCTATAAGATGGAGAAATAAACTTTAAATTGGTAGTATAACGGAACAACTATACTGAGTAACATTTTGTTTAAGTTAAACAGTGATTTAATGGTTCGATTAGTTCACCAATAAGTCACATATGTTTAAACTTCAGTCTAACTACATCGTTTTAATCAGACAGGTAGTATCTCTGGCCGTCATACAAACTATAATTAAATATAACTCATTTACTAAGTCTATTTTTATGTTTTCAGAGTTCAGTCACACTTTTTCAAACTAACGTAAGTGGAGCGAGATTCAAATATCACCTATTATTAGTCGAATGTACACATATAAACCAGTCACTAAAAAATCGATTTGGCGAGACTATAATTAATGGACGAATCAATCAGATTTAGGGTAATAGATCTTAAACTTTGGCGTAAACTTCATTCATCCATTTGGCTAAATGGCAGTTCGTGATTAAAAAAAACCTTAAATCTAATTCTTAACTATAATCATCAACTGTAAACCATAATTCTAATTGCTTACATTGGTTTATAATCCTCATTTAGCCCTAGCGAGCAGATAAACATTCTCAAGGTTACTATAGCGTCGCTCAAAATTCGTTCATAAATTATAATCTCACCATTGATTTAAGGTAAAAAAAAACTTTTAATCGTTTAAAGATCCCCGTCATATTAAAAGACTAATATTTGAACGAAGAATATTCTTGACGATCAATTCTCATCAGGTTCTACAATTATATATCCAAATTAATAATCCCAAAAAATTGTTAGGTTAAGGGCGAAATACATCGTTTAGAGCATGTGAATTTAGGATTGTGATAAACAAAATACAATAAAATTGTTAATGTTAATATGACTCAAATAGAATGTAAACTTGAATCAGCTTATATGTTAAGTAAAATTTATTTAAGATCCATGATCAGAATAAATATGGGTCAAATAGGGTGAAAGTGAAATAATAGTGCAATTACAAATTCAATCAAATTAGTAAGACGTAATAAGGAGGGATGAATACGAGGTGAATGAATCATGTATAGGAAAGATTAATAATGATGTTTAACCAACAATACGAATAATAATAATAATAATAATAATAATACAAAGATTTATGAATAAAGATAACAGGGACAATTACAAGTGACTACGAAAGGTCACTGTCAAATTAGTTCATTCAATAGTTAAGATTAAGATTGATTAATTGGCTTTGATGTTGGCCAGGGGAGGAGGAGTGGTTGAATATATTTCTTCTGTATGCAAAGCCTCGATTTCTTCATCCGGATGGCTATTGCTTCAGCCGTTTGAAGGACTTTCGGTCTGGTCAGTTTTGGCAAAAAATTACTTACCTTATAAATAATTGAAAATGATTGGTTTATACTGGCACTAATGACCGGTTTGTACTAAATGGGCCAATATTGAGCTGTTCACCTTCTTCATCAAACCTTTATTTAGCCACGCTGGTGTTCACGAGCACGAAATGTAAATTCCTAGAACTTCGACCAATATAACTCGCTCCATAGGAGCAGTTGAACTGATAAATACAAAATGAGGTGGTCGTTCTAGGTAATTCATCTTTTAGCTTCGATGTAACCACTGGGCGCGTAGAAAATACCAATCGTAGTTCTCCGGCGTTAGAAGACTTTCGTATTGTCCTACATAATTTCTGAGTTAGTATTTCGCTAGCCGCATCTCCTCTGAATTGTTGACGCATGAACAGGGATTTCTTCTTCACTGTTTGTAGGCGAAATACAGACAGTAGTAGTAGTAGTAGTAGTAGTAGTGAATAGTTCTTTATTTAGATCGTCGCGCTGTCAACAGTTGTAGTATGGGATTAACTGTTCAAACACACAAAGCTTTTCAACATTCAATATAAGATAATGGGAAATACGATGCTGATACAAAATAAGGAAGTCAATGAATAATTGATCTGTTGTTTTGACATATATTTATTTACTTGAGATCAACTTTTAACTAATCAATCTAAGATATTACATTAGCTACCTTTCAAAATCGACTTCCGTAGTAACGTCTTCAGTTTGTATTTCGCCTTCGTGACCATATATTTAGTTATAAACTTTCTAGGGTAGCCGTTCTCCCTGAGAGTATTACGCAAGGTGGTAAGCTCTTGTTCGACTATATCAGCAGAACATATAGTGCGAATACGGTAAGGTTTTTGATCAAATTTCGTTTGTACTGAAGAGGTACAAAGCTCAGGAAATTCGTATACTGCCCAGTCCATGTACGTTTTCTGTTTATATTCCTTTTTAACGATCCATCCGCTCTCTTAGTTAAGAGAACGTCCAAAAAGGCTATTCGGCCATCACTCTCTTCTTCAGATGTAAACTGAATGGCTGGATGCACTTCATTAAATCGCCTAAGAACCTCTTCCGGCGAACTAATTTGAGAGTGACCTTTCGTAGTCAATTGTAATTGTCCCTGTTATCTTTATTCATAAATCTTTGTAATTATTATTATTATTATTATTATTATTCGTATTGTTGGTTAAACATCAATATTAATCTTTCACAGATAGAAATCATGAGTCAGTTGAAGCTAGACCACCATTGAAAACCTGGAAGCACTGGACGGCCGTTTCGTCCTAGTATGGGACCCCTCAGCAGCGCGCATCCACGACCCCGCACCACCTGGGGCTCGAACCCAGGACCTACTGGCTTCGCGCGCGAGCACTTAACCATTAGACCACTGAGCCGGCATCCAACGGTGTTAATGTCTAACTTCAACCAATCCACGAAGTTGCGCTACCGTACACCATTGTCCTCAGTGAGTTCCTATCTCACAACAGACCTGGTTGAACTCCACTGGTAACGACTTCTCACTAGAACTCCAGAAGTATCTCCTGAAGTCAGTCACTAGTGAGCAGGTGATTATTATTATCAGAATGGGTTTTGTGGAGATTTTAGAAATTTCTAAAATCTCCACAAAACCCTGTTATCTTTATTCATAAATCTTTGTATTATTATTATTATTATTATTCGTATTGTTGGTTAAACATCATTATTAATCTTTCCTATACATGATTCATTCACCTCGTATTCATCCTTCCTTATTACGTCTTACTAATTTGATTGAATTTGTAATTGCACTATTATTTCACTTTCACCCTATTTGACCCATATTTATTCTGATCATGGATCTTAAATAAATTTTACTTAACATATAAGCTGATTCAAGTTTACATTCTATTTGAGTCATATTAACATTAACAATTTTATTGTATTTTGTTTATCACAATCCTAAATTCACATGCTCTAAACGATGTATTTCGCCCTTAACCTAACAATTTTTTGGGATTATTAATTTGGATATATAACTGTAGAACCTGATGAGAATTGATCGAAAAGAATATTCTTCGTTCAAATACTAGTCTTGTAAAAAGCTTTCTTTGATGAAATTCTGTTCTCTGAGCTGGGTGGTTTAGTCATGAAGCATTCATCGTTCGTCTGAACGACATCATCAGCACAAAATTCAGGTGTTGATGATGTTGTTCAGACGAACGATGAAAGCTTCATGACTAAACCATTCACCTCAGAGAACAAAACTTTATCAAAATCATCCACCTCAGCCACAAATCTTTTCCACCATCACAAAAACTTTTTTAAAAATGTCATCATCAGGTATCTATGACAAAAGAATTAACAAGATACGCGTATTCATTTATTTATTTTCCAAAGTGTATTAATAAATCAAATATTAACAATAAGAACAAATTAATATTTTAATTCATTCACTAGAACGGTTACTACTCATATTGATGACACGTGGCGATAGAAGTTTAAACCAATCACTGAACACTTCCATCTCAAGGTCACAAAATAAAAATTCAGGCGGATTATAATTTATGGATAAGCCAATCAAATTTAAGATAACAAATGTTGGATTTTGGCGCGTCATTCATTTATCCATTTGTTCTAAATACCATTTTAGCATTATAGTTGTTGTCAGTTCTTGATGAAAACATTGAATCTAATTTCTAACCTTAACGTTTAACTGTAAATCCTAATCTTAATTCCTCACGCTAATATATAACTCTCATCTAATCTTAGTCGTTAAGGTGGATATTCCAAGGTTATTTTAATATTGCTCAAAGGTCGTGCATAAATTATGATCTCACCAAAATTTATATGACCATTTTGCAATAAAGGTCAAACTGATAAATTCAAATTTTGTTTATGTTAGAATAAATAAATAATTGGTTGAAATTTCAAAACAATGAATGTACAAATGTATTAG